CACCCCCACCACTGCCCCCCGCAGCTCAGCCTCTGCCCCTGGCTCCTCGGCAGCCAGCCCTGGTCAGTACCCCTGGACTCACCATTAAGGAGCCTGCCCCGCTGCCTAGCAGGCCTCAGGTGCCCACCCCCGCTCCCCTCCTGCCGGACTCGAAGGCCACCGTTGCTCCCACGGGCAGCCCCAAGCCTTTGCAGCCCCTCCCCACGCCCATCCTGACCATAGCGCCGCACCCTGGAGTCCAGCCTCAGCTGGCCCCCCAGCAGCCGCCCCCACCTACGCTTGGGACCCTGAAGTTGGCACCAGCTGAAGAAGTCAAATCCAGCGAACAGAAGAAGAGGCCCGGGGGGTGAGTGGGATGTGGCAGAGTTGGGGCTGGTGGGACGGCGAGAACTGTCTACTCCCTGGGCTGTGTGTGCAAGAGCAGGTCTCCTACCTAGCAGGTCCTGCCCAACCCAGGAGCGCCTCTTCTATTTGGACACCTTGTCACACGCGTTTCTCTTCTGGGAATGAATGGCCATTGCTCTGTTCTCAGGCTTCTGTGACCTCTGACTCTGACCCCTCCCTCCAAGGCTAGCGTGCTTACTGCATTTCCAGGCCTTTGGGCAGAGTATTGGATTATGGGCGTCTTGGGTAGGGGGCTTCTGAGTCCCAGGTCACTTCTGTCTCCTCACAGTTGGTCGTGTGGGATGAGGGTTACAGAGGTTGTGGATTATTAGCATAGATGAGCCCTGCAAGCCGTGGATGAGGCTTTGAACAGGGTGACCACCTCCCATTGCTGCTTTCACAGACAGAATGTTGGAGACTAAAAGCCTGTGGCATTGGGGTGGGGGTGGCAGTGGGGATCAGGAAGGCCGCCTCATCAGGCCCTCCCTGAGCCTCCTGTCTGTCTGGGTTTCAGGATCGGAACCAGAGAAGTCCACAACAAATTGGAGAAAAACAGGTGTGTGTGCGTGCGTGTGTGACTCTGGGCCTGCCCGCCTGTTCCTGGAGCTCCCCCTCCCCTTTGATCCCCCAGAGCTCCCCTTGGACCTTCCCTCCCGCCGCCAGTCCCTGCCTTCTTGGGTGCTGGCTGACCAGCGCTCACTCCCTCTCCCCAGGAGGGCCCATCTGAAGGAATGCTTCGAGACCCTGAAGCGCAACATCCCCAATGTGGACGACAAGAAGACCTCGAATCTGAGCGTGCTGCGGACGGCGTTGCGGTACATCCAGGTATGGGGAAGGGAAGCAGCGGAGGGCGGTGCCAGGACGGCCGCAGCGCCGGCTTCCTCCCGGCTCCCGAGTCCTCCTTCCCTCCCGTGGCTCCACCCCGCCCTCCTGCACTCCCCGGCTCCCCCGCCCGCCTCCACGCGGGCGCTGAGCACATGGCCCGCTGACGTCAGCGGGGCTCCCAGCCCAGGAGGAGGCGGGCGGAAGAGCGCGCGTGCGCGGGAGGGCGGTGGCAGCGCTCGGCTCCCGGTCCTCCCTTCCCCCCGCGCTGCGTGCTCACGCGGCCCCCTGTGCCCGCGAGCTGCAGAGGGTCTTGCTGTAGGTTCAGGACAACCCGGGTGCCAGACTCCCCTCGCCTTGCCCTTGTTAGCATTCCGCGGGTGAGAAGAGTGCTGCGGGCGGGCGCGCCCGGCACCTCCCCGCCCACAGTGCCTGGGCGGGAACCAGATTTGGCCCAGTGGCTAGTGGGGGGGGGGTCCTGGGTGTGGCCTCTAGCTGCACGGCGCCGCGCAGGTTAAGCGCCCCACTTTCACCCCTAAAGGACTAGGAGCCTTTCGGGTGTGCGCATTCACGCGCTGTGACCCCGAGTTTGGGGGCTGGGGAACGCGGCAGTCTGACAGCACTGATAAAACATCATGCTTTCCTTCCACCTGGGTTAATTAAAGGAGTCCCTTTTATTAGGGAACCCACCTGTGTCTCCACCCTTTGGGCGCTGGCTCCGCGCCAGATAAGACAGTTGCTATGACGGCCCGGAGTTTCGGTTTCCCTGGAAACCGCGGAGGGCTCCGCTTGCTGGGGAGGCCGCTAGAGAGGGGGAGGGCGGTCACGCTCGGCTTCCGCGGGCGACTGGGAGCCGTTGGGGTAATGGGAGGGACTCAGGGCTCCCAGCTGCGCGGGGCGGGGCGAGCCTCGGCTGGGTGTCCCTCCGCTCACTTGAGAAGCCTTGGGGGGCTGGGCGGCGTCACATCCCCGGCGGGAGGAGTGGCGTGGTAAAGACAGTCGCTTGTGTGCTACCACACCCCCTTCGCTTAGACAGCCAAGGTCACAGCCTTAAAGTAACTGGAGCCTGACTTGTTGGCTGGCGGAGGTGCTGCTTCACTGCGCCAGCCGGCGGCTCCCTCCGCACCTCCCACAAACGCGCGCCTTTCCTCCCGCCCTCCTGGGCCTGGGAGCGGGGGCTGGCGGGCCTCCAGGTCGCTTCCCGGCAGCCGGAGGGGCGGAGTCGCGTGCGCGGATTGGCTCAGCTGAGCGTGGGGCGGAGTTCCTGGGCACGCGGAGGGAGGGTGCGGTCCTTGGCGAGTGACGCAGCAAAGCCGGTCCGCGTGGGTGCGCGCGTGCTCCGAGAGGGGCGGGACCTTGTTAGCGCCCCGGTGACCCTGGCTCCGGGTGCCGAGGGTCCTGCTGAGGCTAGGAAAAAAGAGCAGGCAGCTTATTTTCAGGATGTTCTTGCAGAGTTTAGGCTTAGGTGTAACTTTCTTATCTTTAGCCGCACAGCTTCCTTAAGAAATCGCTGTGGATATGCTGTGACATTTTGTATGAGTGTCAGTTTCCTCTTGTATTTGACGATGCGAAATAGGAAAAACGGTGCCACAGAGATGTTAGGATGATTGAGGTTTTTCGTACAAGTAATTTGCAGCAGTCTAAACATTAACTTTTAATGGGAATTATTGAGAAGTAGGAAGGATGGAATGGCAGGTTCCTCTTTATCGTTGCGTGCTTGGGGAAGGGAGCCTTGCCTAACACGTGGATTTGAAAATAAATCAGAAATAGGTTCAGTGGTGAAGCTCCTTAGGACCAGGTCTGAGTAGGGGGTGGAAGCCAGGCTGTCCTTAAGGAATGTGCTGGTAATGAAAGCAGAAGCAGAAAATTCACAGGACATGAAACCCTCAATTTCACTTCAAATGCTTTTAACTTGGCTCTGGGTCTGCTGCTGAGGATACAGTGGAGAGCAAAGAAAGGGTGGGCTTCTGTCCTGCTATGATTGGTCTCCTGGAGATTGTTGACATGAGAACATGCAGAGGACTGTGCCAGAGAGCTCAGTAGAGATAGGGGTGGCAGAATCTGTTTTGGAGCCAGGTGCGGTGGCGCACACCTGTAATGCCAGCACTTCGGAGGCAAGGTAAGAGGACCGCCATGAGTTCGAGGCCAACCCAGGCTACATAGGGGAAGAAAAAAAAAAAGAAAAAAAAACCTATATTATAGTACACAAATTCAA